TAGTTGAAAATTTAATTTTGACTTTTGGTGAAAAATCATGGTCTTCTGGCCCACTGTGCAACGTTAGCTTTTGCTGACCAGCACGTTTGCCGTGTGCTGCTTCTCGTAAGGTGGAAAGGGTGAGCCTGGAGCTACCAGTCTGCTTTCTCATACGAGTGTGGCGCCCAAGGGGGCATTTTCCTCTCGGAGTTGGTAGACTGCGTGCTCTTTGGCTCCTGCTTCATTTTAGACGAGTGGAAGGAAGTTAGGTAGGGACAATTTAGCTCCTTGCTCGGGACTAGTACTGCCTCAGGGGAGTGCTCCTGAGCTCTGATAGCTTTGGCGGATCCACGCTCCTTTGGTGTAGTGCTATATCTGGAGCTACTCTGAGCAGAATGCTGAGGCTGATGTATTCAGAGCCAGTGTTTCTGTTCCCCTTGTTGGGCTCGGTGGTGGGCATGAGAGTGTCCAGATGAACATCTTCATTTGATATGACTACTCCTACTGAATCACCCTGTTTCGGAAAAACTTCACCTAGATTTGACTTATCTACATGCTCTAATTACGACCCTACGAAAGCTAAATATCTGATACTCAGTTCAACTGTAAAGAAACTTTCTTCTTTATCACCATTTCTCGTACAAAAGTCTCTAGAATCTCAGATAGGTAATACAAAAAATGTTCGTGCTATTCCCTCTGGTGACTTGTTAGTGGAAACTAGTTCTGAAAAGCAGACTACCCTTCTTTTAAAATCAAATAAACTTGGCAATGTTCCTATTAATGTTGCACCCCATAAGACATTAAACATATCGAAAGGCGTTATAACAGAAAAAACACTACAATTTCTTCCAACCTCTGAAATAATTGAAGGCTTCTCTAGTCAAGGCGTAATTGATGTACGACATATAACAATAAGAAAGGGCGATGAAATAGTTCCTACACAACACTTGATTCTAACTTTCAACACAGCAAATTTACCTAAGGACATTAAAGCTGGCTATAGAAATTGTAAAATCCGTCCATACATACCAAATCCACTTCGCTGTTTTAAATGCCAGAGGTTTGGCCACGCCACCAACAACTGCCGAGGCAAAGAAACCTGCTCTCGCTGCGGACAAGGCATAACTTCAAATCCTACACGTTACCAGAACAATGCATAAATTGCCATGAACCCCACTCCGCTAATTCTCGAATGTGNAACTGCCGAGGCAAAGAAACCTGCTCTCGCTGCGGTCAGACAAGGCATAACTTCAAATCCTACACGTTACCAGAACAATGCATAAATTGCCATGAACCCCACTCCGCTAATTCTCGAATGTGTCAAAAATGGAAGCAAGAGAAACAAATTATAAGCATTAAAATTACGTAAAATCTATCCAACACTGAAGCTAGATCTAAATTTTTAAACTCACAGCCACGACCTAATATTTCGTATGCTGCAGCTGTCACCAATTCAAAGATAACTAAATCCATCGGCATACAATGTAACGTAATCGAAGCAGAAGTACAAACATCTCAACAAACAACCTCTGCCTCAAAAACCATACCGTCTCATCAAATACACAAATCTGTAAAATCTGTTTCCCCTCAATCAACATCTTCACAAAACAATACTGAAAAAAATCAATATCTGAAACTAACTCCACAGCTAGTAAATGTTTTGCACAAAAAATTAACCCAGACGCCACAATTAAGCAAACCCAAATTTGTTTCAAAAAGTAAACAAAATCGTTTCAATAAAAATAGGAACAAATTATCCAACAGTAAGCTAGAACAATCTGAAGATATGAGCACTGATAACGCAACTGATTCGGACATGCAAATAGAGAAGGGAATGGAGACTCCAATTAACCTTATGCCTAAAACCAACAAGTTTAAATCTGCAAAATAAATAATGGCAAAACTTTTAAATTGGAATTGCAGAGGCTTCTACACAAATTTAATAGACATTAAAAGCCTAATTGACAAACACAATCCCATATGCTTTTGTCTCCAAGAAACATTCCTTAAACCATCTCATAAGGGAAATATACATAGGTATACTAATTCAAGAAAGGATTTTATACAAGGTAACAAAGCATGCGGCGGCGTTTCACTTTTAACGTCTAAAAGCTATCCGTTTTCTACTGTTTCATTAGTAACCCCTCTACAAGCTGTTGCGGTTCAAATTTTCATTCAATCACTTATCACGGTATGCTGTATTTATTTACCACCAAATCAGGTAATACCACAATCTGACCTAGACAATCTAATTACTCAACTACCGTCACCATTCATCATCATGGGAGATTTTAATGGGCATAACCCATTGTGGGGTAGCGCCAATTCAAATTCTCGTGGTAACCAGATAGAGAAACTCATCAATGATCATCAATTATGTCTACTGAATAAAAATGAAAAAACTCATTTTCATTTCCCTTCTAGAACTTTTCATTCTATTGATCTGGTTATTTGTTCTCCTCAAATATACCCGTTTTTAGAGCTTTTTGTTGACAACTACCTTTACCACAGTGACCACTTTCCTATCATTATAAAAATTTCTGTACCGTCTCAAAATAATATCTATCGATTACCTAGACTCTGCATCGCGGCAGCAGATTGGGTAATGTTTTGTAAATCTCTTACATTCAATGAACATACAATAGAAACAGGAACTATTGATGAAGCCACAACTGAAATAACTAATGCCCTCATAACAGCAGCTGAACAGTCAATGCCTTACACTTCTTCTAAGTGCCCTAAATATACAAAACCCTGGTGGAACAAGGAATGTAGCCAAACTCATAAATTTCAAAAACAGGCTTGGAGAAAATTCCGTAAATATCCCACGCAAGAAAACTTGATTGCATTCAAACGGGCCCGAGCAATAGCAAGAAAAACTCGAAGACGAAGCCAAAAGAAATCTTGGATTGAATACGTCAGTGGAATAAACAGTAATACAACATCTAAAGATGTTTGGAAAAAGATTAAAACAATATCTGGCCATTATGCAACTTCACCTGTTACTCATCTTGAAATAAATAACCGCAAAATAACTGATAAAAAAGAAATAGTTAACACTCTTGCTGAAAGCTTTTCTCAGAATTCCAGCCACACAAATTATCCAACCTCCTTTCAAAGATATAAAGCAATAACTGAAAAAACAATACTTAAATGTCCATCCGAACCAATCAATGATTATAATTCAAAAATTACTTTAATAGAACTAAAATCGGCAATAAAACGTTGTAAACCCACTTCTCCTGGTCCTGATAATATACACAGTAACATGTTTAAGCACCTTTCAGATACACATCTACAAATAATTTTAAATTTTTTCAATAGAATTTGGATCAAGAGAAAATTTCCCTCTAACTGGCGCAAATCATACGTTATAGCTGTCCCCAAACCAGGAAAAGACCACAAAAATCCTAATAACTATCGGCCCATAGCTCTTACTAGCTGTTTATGCAAACTATTGGAACGGATTTTAAAGGCTAGACTTACCTATTTTCCAGAATCTCGAAATATTTTATCTTGCAAGCAGACTGGTTTTAGAAAATGCAGTTCTACTACTGATAATGCCATACTTTTAGAAACTGAGATAAGAGAAGCGTTCGTGAAAAGACAGCATCTGGTAGCAGTATTTTTTGATATCGAAAAAGCATACGACCGAACGTGGCGTTATGGTATTCTGCGAGATCTTCTAGATTATGATATAACAGGGAATTTATTTTATTTTATTCAAAATTTTTTAGCAGAAAGAACTTTTCAAGTGTTTTTAAATCCTATATTTTCAGGCATTTACACTCAAGAAGAGGGTGTTCCTCAGGGTAGTGTTCTTAGCGTCACTTTATTTCTAATCAAAATAAATAAAATTTTATCCCTTTTACCCCCTTCTGTTGACTTTAGACTCTTTGTCGATGATTTTCGGATTT